GGGCAGGGAGGGTAGAAATAGGAAGGAGAGTCTGAGGAAAGACATTAAGGAGAAAAATAGAGGGGGCAAGACATTCATGGAATCCAGAAATGGATTATTATCTATTGATGATAACATGTACTACATCCCCAACTGGACTGGTGAGAAATGTATTCATGTTGGAAAATTCACTTTACAAGCTAAGTGATGTATAGTGATTGAATGTATAAAAAACTTAAAATATATTTTTAAAAAGTTAATAAATGTTTTCAATGATCTATAGTAAAAGTTCTTTCTGTTTTTATTGGAATAGTGGTCTTGCTGTGAAGATAGCTAAGGATCATTCCTTTAGAAATTCATTTAAAAATAAGTACTTATTTAGATCAGTTAGTGGTATGGTGGTTAAGGCACTGGACTCTCACATTAATGACTACAGTTCTCCTGTTACTGACTGCAGTTCAAGTCCCAGACCTGGAGGCTTACTTTCTCATTTCCTCTCTTTCTCTCTCTGTGTCTCCCTCTAGTCAAACTGAAAATAATTAATTAATTAAATAAATAAATAAAATAAAATTTACAAAAAAAAAAGAGTTCAAAAGCTTATTCATAAAAAATAAAAAAGGAGCACTTACCTACTCCCCGTTTCCCCAAAATAGAGGGTCCTAAGTAGATTTTAATAAAGTTGATTTGGTCTAGGTTGGTGCTAATCACTGTTAGGATTATCCAAATAATTTCCCCTATAATTATTCCATGTTCCAAAGCAACCTTCAGATTATAGCTTTTCTTCTCTTACAGATACCCGTATAGGACAGGATAAACTGACACATTCTCAAGTTTGCTTGAATTTTTAATTTAATTTTTTATATATATTAAAGAAACATCATTTGTTCCTTAATGTGAACTTAGAATTTATGCCAGTGCCTGGCTTATACCAATGCTGAATATGTATTTGTTATATAAGTATCTATTCCAGTTAATAGGTAGTTATTTCATGTATCTATGGACAAGAGAGGAATCAGTTCTCTGTTTATTGACACACTGCTTTTCTTAGTTACACTAACCTGAAGGAAAACATGGAGTTTGGCAATTTGGCCGAAGTAAATGCCACGTATTAAATATATGGCCAGTCTCCAAAGACTTCATTTCTTTCTTGTTCCTCTAACCGTAATTATTTCAACTTTCCTTCAAGTCTGTTTTCCTTTCTTACTGTAAATATTTTATTGTTATGTGGTTCTGCAAAATCCCTTTAGAGGAAGAAAGTATGCTTCCATATTTAAATAATCAGAATTGCACTGTGACTAACAGTCCTGGAATTCTTAATTTTTGGTTTCAGGCATTATACCATCTAAAGAGAACTCAATAAAACAGAAGTAGAATGAATATTAAATATGCCCTGATAAACTGATACATGAAGAAAAAGGTAGTTGGATCATCCAAGGCCACAACACTTAGCAGTAAGGCAGGATTAAACTCACTGCTTTTGGTATCAGAAATCTATTCCTGAATACAGGATTTGAAGTAGAATCCTTGAAGAAAACTATAAATAAGTAATTCAGGTAATATTGTTTTATTAAATTAATGTTCTTATTGCTAATTACTTTATCAACCCTACTCTGAGTCAGTTACACCACTGGACACTGGGATACAGAGATACAGACAGGACGGAGACCTCAGAGGGGCTTTGGATAATAGCAAAGAATTTGGACTTAATCCCATGAGTGGATGGAGAGTCTGTCAAGAGTTATTAACAGAAAGAAATCATATAAACTGGAACACAGTTTAGACAGATAGTTTGGGTGGCTGGTCAGAAGTGGATTTAGAAGTATATTAGTCAAAATAAGCCAGATTGTGCTGTGGTAACAAATAAATCTCCAAAATGCAAGAAGTAAAGCAATAAAGAGTTATTTCTTAAATAGTCAAAGTCCAAGAGTGGCTGGGCAGCATTTCTCCATCTGGTGCCTATGCCATCTGGACTTCTCATTTTTCTAGGTTACGGTAGCAGCAGAGCTAGAGGATATAATGTTTCATGGGCTGGGACTGAACGTGCTGTTAATAATTCGTTCCATTTCTCGTCTTTGAGAAGCCTGGTACATGACCTGGTGTAACTGCAAGAAGCATTACTGAGGGTCTCTCAGAACAGACACCTTCTTCGAGTTTTTTGTAATAGGCCAATAGCATCTTTAAATTTCTATTGTGTTGTCTGAGAAAAATCATTGTTCATTTACCCAATTCATCCAACACATGCTTTTCTGAAGCACTTATGAGGTGCTCTTCACGTTACCTTCATTGGCTCTCTCATCACACGTGCAAAGCCGAGATGTGAGTAAATGTGGTGGGGCATGTAACATGGCCCAGATCATGTGGGTTTTCATAGGCTATTGTAAGGACTTTTAATTTGACTTAAATGAAGAGTCTCTGGAATGTTACAGTATTTAGTTTTCTTTTTATTAGGAACATATTTACTTTATGAAAACCTATGAGTCTTTCTTATAAAAATAAATCGCTTAATTGGTTTGTATAATTATCATTTATGTATTAAAAACACACCAACTAAGGTGCACAACTTTACATAAATGGTTTGATTCATGCATTGGGTGTGAATTAGTAGATCAGAAGGTAATAAAGATTCTCTCTTTAACCAAACTTTAGTCAGACTCTTCTGAACATTCTATTTAATGAGGTCTCAATGTTTAAACTTCCATGTTAGTTTCTGCATTGTCCACTTCTAGCATTAATCTGGCTAAATCAGTTTATCCATATTCCCCTGATCGCTCTTTAACATCTGATTAGATTTCATGCCTTTACCCTCCCCCAGGTGCTATCTGATCACCCCGTCTGCCTTCCTCTAGAATTCTGTTAAATGTTTAGCCAGAATTCCCTTTAGCCCTGATGTTACCTCCTAGTCATTTCCACTCAGTGATTCCCTGCCTTCTTCCTCAGCTTCTCGGCTCTCAATACCCCCACCTTTATTTGTGTATCCATAGTTGAATCTAATATCTCTCTCCTATTATAAAACCCCCTGCATAACTATAACTATACTCCTTCTTAAATCATCTGCTTTACTGTTCTTTAAACAAGTGTCATAGATTTTTTTTTTCCTTTAAAAAGGAGGCCATATCTGAGCTGGATTGTTATGAAGGCAGGGAGTGGAGAAAGAGCATTTTAGACACAGGATCCAGGATAGAATACTGCATGGATGTGAAATATGATGGCCAGTTCACGGAAGTAACAGAACTTGCAGCTCATGAGAACAGACCCCTTTGGTTCAGGGTTGTAGGGAGTAGAAAACGGGCTGGTAAAATCTGGTAAGATTGATTATAAAATCATACACGGGTATTTAATATTATATAGGAATAAGTTTTTATTTTATTCTTTAAGTAAGATAAAGACAATGATGCCGAAAATGTAGAAGAATTTAAAGAGCCTTGTGGAAGTAAGGTAGAACAAAAGAAGCCATTAAAAAGTCATCCATGAAGCATGAGCTAATTTAATCTCTTAAAATAGCAGAGAAATAAGTTTCTAAACTGTGACATATCTAGCAGGTTGACAAGTTAAAATCATGAACATGTATGTGGTTATATACTGTTTTGTTTATATAACACCAAACTCTAACTTTATATCTTTTCCTAATAAACAGTAGACCCAGAAGGATGTAACACTATATGAAACCTAGCTTGAAACATAGCTAGGAAGGACCTCGCCTGCTTCCATCCAATATTTGCTTATTAGAATTTGCCACATCCAAGTAACGTTCCACAGATAATAGTTTTCAACATATAGTAGAGCAACTATGCTCTTCAGGAAGTAGGGAAGGCAATAAACATATTTTTAAGAACCATCTCCAAACACTCATTTCATAAAAGTAACACCAATATATCACCGTATGTGTTAGAAAACTTCTACATAATGAAGAGACATATCTAAAAGCAGGACGTAATATATTAAATATACATAATTGATGAAGGACTAGTATCCAGAATATATTTTAGAATTATCTACAAATGATATGAAAAACACAAAGAAGTCAAGAAAAAAAGTTTAATAAAGGATTTACAAGCATTTATACAAGTAAAACCTAAGTGTTCATTGAACACACAAAAAAATGTTTAAACTCACCAATATTAGAATAGTGTTTGTTTCTAAAGAAAGAAAAAAGGAGGGGGATAGAATTTTGAAGAAATACAGTTTGAAATGACATTTTATGTGTAGCATTTAATGCCTTTAAACAATAAGGAGCAGAGAAATATTGCTAAATGTTAACATTTGCCTATGTAGATGGTAAGTATGAGGAATCTTCAAGTTCATAAAAAATACACATTGTGAAAATACTCTGCATAGAGTTCTTTTAAATTACAGCAAAATAAACTTATAACTTAATTAAAAATTCCACAGACTTTCCAAAGTCCCTTCAGATATACATGTTTGATTTATGTTCTGTATTTTATTTAGTATTTGAAATATGTTTTAATGACGAATTCTTATGTAAAATAACTTTATCATCTTTTTCTGCAAAAAAATATCCCTATCTATCACTTTAATGAGATAAAAAGATACAGAAGAGAGTATATATTAGGGGAGAACATGAAAATAGCAGTTGTAATTCTAGGTCTAGTCCCAAATCTGCCACTTACCAACGTGTAACCTTGAGCAAATCACTTAGTTCTAAAACTGATTCCTCACTTGAAAAACTTAGAAAATAATAGCTGCACTTACTGCCGAGTCTTCTGGACAGTTTTCTATGCAAAAATGCATCATGACTTTCCTGACAACCTAATATATAAAGTTATTGTGAGAAATGTAGTAGTTCAGGTATTATACATGAAAGTCGTGTTCAGTTGGGGTCAATTTGATTTCACTCTTTCTGTCACAGCACTCATCCAATCTGTTAGCAAATCCTTAGGCTTTTTTTGAAAAATGTGAAATTAAATAAGCATACTTTCCCATTTACTGTCATTCCAAACATACTGAAATAGACGTTAGAAATGGAGAAGTAGAGATCATAAAAGACATAAATCTTTTCTTACCGGGTCTATTAGCTGGGAATACAGTTCATGGCAGTTGTCAAAAATATACTTGTATGTAGAATCCAGGCAAGCCCTGACACAGTCCTTCACCACCAGGCTGGCCTTTGGGGGGCTCTGCAGCTCTAGAACCTGACAGACAAATGATATTAAGTGCAACAATGGACTATTATAATCCAGTATAACAAACAAATTCAATCTATTTTTTGTTGTTGTTGCTTTTTCTATATTTAGCAAATGTGGTTTTAGAATGTGGTTTCATATGTGTAACTATCCATTTTAACCTTCTGACTAAAAACTTATCAAAAATGTTCACAGTTGTAAACATCTGCATGGAAACATTTAAAGTGACCATTACATCTTCCATGCTTTCATTTTTCAAATTAGATCATTCAAAAATATTTTTCCATGACTATATGCTAGATAATGGTGAAGCTTCAATGAACAAAAGAAACATATACCCCTTTTCTCATGGGATTAAATTTTAGTAAACAAACCAAACAAGTAAAATACATGATGTCATGATGTACATCAAAAAGAAAGGGAGTATAAAGTGTTTCAATATAACAGAATTAATATAGAGGATAGTAAAAGTAAATGAAATCAGAGAGAAGTAACAAGATAACAAAGGGAAAAAAAATTACAGATAGACCATTTTAAGAACCTGAATTTTGAGCAAGGTGGGAAGGAATTACATGATTTGAGCAAAAGAGCAAAATGACCCAATCTTCCTATCTTTTAAAAGATCACTTATGGGGCTAGCAGATGGTATAGCAGTTATGTTGCTGTACTCCCACATGACCAACTGTGGTTTGAGTCCCAGACCTGGTAGCTTGAAACTCCCTTGAGGCACATGTGCGTGTGTGCCCAAGATCCCAAGAGAAGAATAGAGGAGAAGGGATTGTGGTGTGGCCATTCCCCCTGGAGGGTGATTTCTCATTTTCCCTCTCACTGCATCTGTCTTTCTTTCTCTCTAGCTAGCATACAAGTCCTAAGGCAAAAACCTCTAAGAAAAAAAAAAATTCACTTATGCTGCCTTACGGTGGACTATTGAAAATGTAGATAATCTCACATATGAAAATAATGTCAAAATTTAGTCAAGAGAAGATGATGCTTGGACCAAGATGGCAGGACTAGAAGTAGTTCAAGAAAATTATAATTCAATTTTAGAAGAAAGGCCTAAAGATGTGCTGTTTAGATAATTGTTGTGACAGAAAGAGTGGAATCAAGTTGACCCCAAAGGTTTAGCCTGAGCATCTGGTTCAATCAAGGTAGCCTTAATATTTTTTAACTTAATTTTTATTAATATTTATTCACTGTACATCTTATAGTGTACAACATGGTTTGTCCCAGCATGAATATGGAGCACATTACTCAAGTCAAAGACATTACCATATACATTATTATCAACAAACAACTTTTCATTTTTTTGTTTGTTAAATTTTGTTTTTTCCCCTGATCCCTTCCTTCCCACACTGTTCTAACTACCCCCTCCCATATTGTCTCTAGTACCTACAGTTGCCCTTGCTGCTATTATACCTTCCAGTCTTTCAGTTTCTGCTCTATAGTGTAGGCATTTCATATATGTTAAGTAGGGACATACAATGCCTGCCTGTCATAGTCCTACTTGCTTCACTCAGCATTAAGTCTTCCATATTCACCCACTTCATATTAAATGTTAGAGTCTCGTTTTTTATTGCTGGTTAGTATGCCATGAAGTACATGTGTCATATTTTTTAATCCACTTGTCTGTTCTTGGACATTTGGGCTGATTCCAAGTTCTAGCAATTACACGCTGCCATAAAAATAGACATGCAAGTGTTTTTCCAACTGAGGGTTTTCCTATTCTTTGGATAGATACCTAAGAGTGGAATTACTGAGTTGTATGGTAGTTGTGTATATAGGTTTTTGATGAACATCCATACCGTTCTCCACAGTGGTTGTGCTAATTTACATTCCCACCAATATTGTAGGAAGGTTCCCTTTTCACACAGCCTTGCCAGCACTTATCATTCCTTGTTTTTCTAATCTTAGTTATTCTGACTGGGGATAAGTGGTTTTGACCTGCATTTCCCCTGTGAGAAGAGATGTTGAGCATTTTTTCTTTTTCATACACATTTTGGTTGTTCATGTCTTCCTTGGGGAGGTGTCTATTCAGCTTATTTGCCCCACCCCCACTTTTTAATGTCACATACCAAAGTTTAAGTCATTGGAAAGTAACGTTCCATTAACTTGTACTGCCAGATTTTTGTACAGATTTCCTGCCATGTCTGTGAATTTAAATACATTTATTATAAATGCATCACTGTTTAGGAAGATCAAAAGCTCTGCCCTTAGTCATCATGCAATGGTTAGTTATGCAATAATGAGTGAAAGAATAACAATCAAGACAATATTATTTGCCCATCTTTTAATAGTATTGACTCTCTTTTAGTTTAAGCTACATGAGTTCCCTGTATATTCTGCTTATCAGTCCCTTATGTAAGTTTACAAATAAATTCTCCCATTCTGATGGTTGTCTCTTCACCCTAATTGTCTCTTTTGCTGAGCAGAAGCTTTTTAGACTGATGTGGTCTCACTTGTCTATTTTTGGGATTATTACTTAAGCTTTGGGGGGTCTTATTTAACAAGTCTTTGCCTTCTCCCATGTCTCCAAGAGTTTTCCCCTGAGTGTCCAACCAGTAGTTTTAAAGTTTGAGGTTTTGTGTTTATATCCTTGATCCATTTTGAGTTGATTTTTATTAATAATGAGAGATAGGGGCCCAGTTTCATTTTTTGGCAGGTGGATATTCAGTTTTTTTCAGCACCATTGGCTGAAGAGATTTTCTTTTACCCACTGGATTATTTTGTGCCCTTGTCAAAAATCAGTTGTCTATATATTTGGGGATTTACTACTAGGTTCTAAATTCTTTTCCAATAGTCTACCAGCCTGTTTTTGTGCTAGTATCATGTTTGATTATCATGGCTTTGTAATATATTTTGAAGTCAGGAAGTGAGATGCCTCCTACTTTATTCTTTTTGCACAGTATTGCTTTAGTGATACAGGCCCTTTAAAGATTAGAGATAAATTTTATGATTGTTTTTTTCTATTTCCATGAAGAATATCTCTGGTGGTTTGATGAGAATTGCATTGAACTTGTAGATTAATTTGGGCAGGATTGCATTTTAATTGTATTTATTCTTTCAATACAGAGCATGAGATTTCCACTATTTTATATTATTTTCTATTACTTTTAAAAAGTTTTTCTCGGGGACCAGCAGTTAGCGTAATGGCTATGTCGCTGGACTCTCAAGGAGTCGACCACGGTTTGCATCCCAGACCTGGTGGCTTAAAACTCACGCTGGGCGCGTGTGTGTGCGTGCCCAAGATCCCGAGAGGAGAATGGAGGAGAAGGGATTGCGGTGTGACCATCCCCCCTGGGGGGTGATTTCTTGCTTTCTATCTCTCTGTCTCTCTCTGTCTGTCTGGCGAGTGCACGCACCCTATAGCAAAATCCTCTCCAAAAAAAAAAAAAAAAAAAGTTTTTCTTAAAAGGGACTTCACTTCTTTGGTTAGGTTTATTCCTAGGCATCTTACATTTTTTGTGGCTACTGTAAATGAGTTTGCTTTCTTCAGTTCACTGCTGGTGTATAAAAAGGCTTTATAAGTTTAAGTTTTTGTATGCTGATTTTATATGCTGCCACTTTATCATTACTTTATCACTTCCAGGAGATTTTTGTGGGTTCGTTTGAATTTTCTATGTATATAATCATATCATCTGTGAATGGCAATGATTTAACTTCTTTTCCTATTTGAATGTACTTTATTTTACTCTCTTGTCTGATTGCATTGGCTAGGACTTCCAGTACTATGCTGAAGAGTGGAGAAAGTTGGCAGCCTTATCTTGTTCCAGCTTTTAGTGAAAAAGCTTTTGCCTTTTTCCCCATTCAATATGCTGTTAGCTATGGGTTTGTCATAGGTGGCTATTATTGTGCTGAGGAATGCCACTTCTATGCTAATTTTGCTGAGAGTCTTAACGTGAAGGGATGTTGTATTTTATCAAATGCTTTTTCTGCATCAATTGATATGATTATACAGTTTTTAATCCTTCCTTCTGTTAATGTGACATATTACAGTTATTGTTTTGTGTATGTTGAACCACATTTACATCCCTGGAATAAACTGACTTGACTTGGTACATAATCTTTTAAATGCTTTGTTGGATATGATTTACTAGTATTTTATTGAGAATTGTTGCATCTGCATTCATCAGGGATACTGATATATAGTTTTCTTTTTTTGTTATGCCCTTTTCTGTTTGGGGGATCAGGATGATGGAGGCTTCATAGAATACATTTGTGAGGATTTCTTCCTTTTGGATCTTTAGAAATAGTTTGAAGATAATTGGGGTTAGCTCTTTAGAAGTTTTGTGGAATTCTCAACTGAAGTCACTTAGACATGAATATTTTTTGTTTGTTTATTTTTTATGGGGGGAGTCTATTTATTACTGATCAATCTCATTGCTTGTTATGGATTTATTCTGTCTTTCTACATCTTCCTTGTTCAATCTTGATAAATTAAATGTGTCCAGAAATTTGTCCATCTCATCTAGATTTTCTTGTTTGTTGGTATATAACTGTTTATAGTATTCTCTCATGATCTTTCATGTTTCTATTATGTCTAATGTAATATCAAATGTTTCATTGCTGATTTAATTTATCTGATTCCTTGCTATGCTTTCTTGATTAATATAGTTAATTGTGTGTCAATTTTATTTCCTCAAAGAACCAGCTTTTATTTTTATTTTCTTTTCCTTTTATTTTCTATATTGTTCTATTTTTTTCTCTAATTTATTTCTTCTTGAATCTTTATAACTTCTTTTATCCTGGTATTTTTTTTTCTTGTGAGCACTAATTACTATTAAGTTCCCTCTTTTGATTTCATTCTAGAACCTATGTGTCCCATAGTTTAGGAAAATTTGTACACTCATTATCACTGGGTTCAGTGAATCTTTTTATTTCAGTCATAATCTCTTCCGTGGTTGTAAAGTCATTCAGAAGTAGTTTACTTAGTTTACATGTGTTAGTGTATTTTCAAGGTCCTTTCTCCAGTTGATTTCAAGTTTAATTCCACTGTGGTTGGAGAAAATATT